AGTTACTTGTAAAAATCGTAGGATTGCATGAGATTGTCCACCTACTGTAGCTATTAGAGACGCCACGTGTGCGATGAGTACTTGGGTCTACAGCAGTTTGTCTCAACTAAGTACTGCAAAGTGAAAAGAATTCAGCACGAACACTATCTCTTCTGAATCCTTCACTAAGATGAACAGGAGCGTTGGCAAGATGCCGAGACACAAGTCAACCGGTTCTTCTGAGAAATCCAACCTCAATTCGGTGGAAGTTTAATGTACCTCCCAGAACAGGTAATTTGTTCCACACAACTGTCTACTTACTTTGTAAAAGTAGGCATGCTTTGTTTTCCACGAAACTCTTAGTACGCCACCCCCCACCAACGGGTATGGTTGCTTTCTACGACACATTCCATCCCAACATCAGAATGACCCTCACGCAAATATAATTAGACCATTCCGGCAGAGGTATCACTGGTAGCGCACCTTATACACGCTTAGCCCCAGGCTTCTGTCTTCCGACCAGGGTTAGGTTTTGAGTTAGGGTAAGGGTTAGCTTTAGCGTTACGTATAACGAGACATGTAGGTAGTGCACCTCATATATACGCCTAGTCCCAGCATTTATTCCTACGGAAACGGTGGTTATAGGGTTTTTGGGGGTGGAGAAGTAGGATAGACACGAAGGGAAATTTTTAGAAATGTAAAGTGGAAAAATGTTGTCGAATTTGTTTCCCGCGGCCGCTGGGAGTAAGTTGTGTCGCATTTAAATTTAAGGTGTGCGCGGCGCTTTGCGCCGCGGACTGTACTAATCTAACGCCAGAACGGTAACTTGGACCTCAGGTAAGTTGAAGTAGACGACCTCCTAACCACCATTTCTATTTTTCGAGAATTTCCAGAAACCTGCAATTTGATAATCGGGTTTTTCCGCGATATGTTAAACGATAATACAGATTAGGAAAATCTACAGATATAAATCAACATTTATAATTACAATAAAACAAAATGCATTTAGCAGTTATTAAAGTATATTCCACCAAGTGCCTTAATTCCCCATCCACAAAACCCTATAATCACCGTTTTCGTGGGACAAAATGCTGGGACTAGGGATTAATGAGGTGCACTATATAAACTACAGTCGTCCTGTCAAGAGCAGTATCATTCTCAGGTACATATTTACTAGCATGCCCTTCCATATCCTCTCCAAAGCCACCAACAGGTTGGATTCCTTTTAGTCAACGTAAACCCTTCGTAAGTTATACCCGTCATTTTTAAGCGTTTGCCCAACTTCATCCTCCCGAAGCATTCCCAAGGATGATCAAAATGATCACTCAGAAATAGCAAAAAGCGTGCAACTCCTGTGACCATTGCGATAAGCACGTAAAGCGAAATGTAAACTGTGCCCTACTGCAAACCTCCATCTGACCGTACAATTAAT